GCGGCTTTTTCATTCGTGAGTAGGGGCCGTGGAGGTCGAAAAGATAAATCGCACAGCCCCCTCAGCTCGGTAAATCTTTCAGGTAGGGGGTCCATCCTGAGATACAAGGACGCAGGGGGTTCTGAAAGGTCAGTTATTCGGGACACCCTCAGCAGGGGTTCCCCCTGCACCACGGAGGAGAACGCGTACGACCAATTGGACTCGCTCCGAACTATTTCCAGCTGTTCTCGCCGCCAAGAATGGCGCCACCGATCCTGAACTCGGATCGGATATCGGTCGGGTACATTAGTCTTGTCAGTTTCCGTCGAGGGCTMATTTTCGTTTGGTGACAGACGTCGGATCATGTTGATTTGATGGGCTTTCGTGGTGAGGCGAGGCGCCRGCTGGGTGCGCATGCGCACCGCCAGTCTCATTGGTATCGTTTGGGGTTTGGGGTGGGCCGATGTGAGCACCACCTTACAACTGTCAAAGTGCATTCGCGCTCCGACCGCCGCCTGCCACGGAATGCCTAGCAGAACATCATACGCCTGTACATCCAGCACGATCACGTCACACAAACAATGCACCCGCCCCACTTGTATAGGCACGTTCGTTATTCGCCCTGTACAATGAATACTATCTTTCGTAGCGGATATATACAGTTCATCCGGCCGGAGGGGTTGAACTTGTCCTTCCCTTCCCAACTGTTTCGTCAATCTCCAAGAAATGGTGACCGCCGATGATCCCGAGTCTAAGATGGCGGCCGAGGGGTTTCCCCAGACCTCACAGTCACACTCTACGCTTTTCCATGTTATAGGATAGGCCCGGAGAAATACCTCGGGTTTTTTCCGAGGCGGAATCTACGATCTGGACCATCCCTATCCGGTTGGCTTCGTGCACCTCTGAGGTCGAGGGCTGTGACTCCTCGTTAGTGGGTGGGTCCCGTAGGAAGGGCTTTTTGCCCTTTCGACTTTCCTCGAATCGGCGCCTGTTTTTGAGGCACCGTTCGATCAMCTTTTCGTTAGCCGCTTCGGAAATGGTTAGCACATATGGAATAGGGACGGTGATCCGAAGATCCAGAGCCTTCAAGGCATCCAATACGTCGATATGGCCATCCTTGTATTCAGGACCAGGTACCGCAAGATCCTTGAATTCTGGTCGCCACGGCCCGAGGTCGCTTTCCTCGGTAATCCGTTGGACGTGACGTATCACTCCGATGGTCCCGGGTTCGAACATCGCTGCTGCCATATACTCATCGGGTCCTATCTCAGTGGCCGTCGGGATCACCATCTCCGTCGTTCCTGTGTCCATTACTGTGGCTACCCTCCCCTGTCTTGCAGCGGTGGGAGTAGCCAGCGGGATTTGGGAAGGTCCGGTGGGCCCGCCCTAAGTTCGGGGTTTCAGACAATCTTTCGCAAGGTGGCCTGGCTGATTTAAGTTATAACAGCGTAGGGGTGGGATAGCCCCGGCCACGGCCGGTCTTGTCATAGGGGCTCTGACAGCCATAGCCGCCTGTTGCCGTTGTGCGGCGGCTATGCGTTGCCGTTGCAGACCTTGAACAAACTCCGTCAACGGGGCTACTACCGTAACTAGTTGGGCCGCGACTTCTTTCATGGATAGTTCTTCCTCGCCCCGGCCTCCTTGCGTTTGACTAGAGCGACAGGAGGCGGAAGCAGAGGAAGAAGCTTTTCGATCCGAGCCTTTTTTTGCCGGACCCAACCCAAAGCGATCTTCGAACATTCGTGCCGTAGCGGAGTAGCTAGTGCGTCGAACGCCCGAAGGGTCATCTTCGTCGGATTCTGAGTCCAGGCCCACATCGTAATTTTATTTCCCGTACTTAATTGCGTACTGAACTAGCTCCGTCAGGGTATGTTCTATAGGGTTGCATTTCTTGCGGATCTTTTTCCGCAAACGAGAATCTGACAGTCCTCTGACGAAATCATTCCGTACCATTTTCTCATCCACCCCTGAGCGTTCGGCTAGGTACGTAAAATGTTCAGCATATCTAGCCATGGTCTCCGGAGGCTGCTGTGTGTATTCCTTTATTAAACGGAGGCATTGACCTGGTGCTGTGTGATCAAATCTATCGAGAAATTTCCTCTGGAAGGCTGCCCAATTAGTGAAGGGGTTTTGTCCGTACCACTCAAAAGCGGTTCCGGCTAACCTTCCCGGAATTCGTTCTCGGAGCAACTGATCCAACCAGCCCTGGGCTTTCAAGGCAGCTAGCCAGGTGCGAGGATCGGTGTCATCTTCAGAAAAAATGGGAACTTCGGAGGGAGGAGGTACAAAGTACAGGGGATGATTGGCCATCCCCGCGTGGTTGTCRCCGTYGTTTTCACCCCCRATTCCGGGTTCCACCATCGCGGGAGGCGGGTTTCGAGCCCGGCCCCTCGCTCGGTTCTGATTGCTATTCGCGGGCCTYYGTCGAYGGGGAGCCRGYCTACTCAAAAAYRCGAAAAATCTAATGAAAAGATCAAAAAGAAAAAGGRGAAACTTTAAAACAGGGTAATCGTCCTAGGAAAACCTCGGAGCCGAAACGAATCAGCTCTGATACCAACCTMACRCCCCCTCGCAGCTTCCCGTACGGGGTCGCCRATCAGAGTTCTAGGAGRGGCGTGGCCRAGGATTTTYGGCCGTAASGGTTGAGTCTCCCGGACRGAACCGGAGGCCCTCRTTTCGTGCCAGAGGTTTTCCCCGGAGTCGAACTGTCGTCGCKGAGTCCCGTGGGGGTCGGATCACTCCGAAACGATAACCTCAAGAAAGGTTTCCGCAAAAATGAACTGYCGTCATGCATCGGGACGRAAAAAGGCATCAAGGGGAGAGGGCCATGGCGRCGGAGGACAAAACTTCGSCCGTCAGGGGTTTGGGGGATAGGTGGCGGGTTCGAAGCCTTCAGGCCTCATCATCGGCCTCACAAAGTGGCCGAACCCTCGGGTCTTTGCTGCGGAGGTGGTTGGTTCGAGGCCGTCAAGCCTCGGCGTCGGACTCACAGAGTCCGCGCGAAAGTTTGCGGGAGTGTAAAGCGGCGGGAGGATTCACCGGCATCTGAATTCGAAATTGTGCGGGCAGCGCCCCCGCACTACGGGAAAGCTCGGGGAAACGTGTCGCTCCCTCGTAACCCAGGACCAGCCGTCGCCAAGAACACGAGTCCCCCTGGCGACACCAGTGACAATCAAACTGCGGCTGCCACGCGGCGTGAGCCGCCGACCAGGGCAACACCGTCAAACCCGTATAAGGCAGTATTAAAGTCGGGGAATCAAAACGATCAATCAAAACAAACCCGTTCCCCCTTATCTCACAAGCTCCAGGCGGGTCGTGCCAACACACTTGCTCCGTCCGCCTCAGCGCACGCCGTACGTCCGCATCGCAATAGACGCTGTCGTCATATGCGATGGGGAAGGTCGGTAGCGAGATGAGACGGTCGAAGGTACGTGATGAACACGTGATGAACACGGAAAAAGTCCCGCGTTCCCGGTCATCCGAACCAGCACCGAATCCATACAACAGTCGTCGCAACTCCTCTCTCTTTAAGGTGGGTGCGTCGAGGGAAGACGACAAAGTCTAAGCTCTCTCCCCTCTCTCCCCTCGCGGGGGCGTCGACCGTCCGTGCGGACGCAAGCGGTTGATGTCACCGGTACGGGGGCGAGAAGCTCCAAAAGCGAAAACTATCAGTTCAAAAAGGAAAGCATTAGAGAGAGAGAGAGGGAGGGAGAGAGGGTGAGTTGCGCCGAGACCGCGCGAGAGCGCAGAAAAGGCCGCGGAGGGGAGGGGAACAACCGGATCAACACACTCATACTCCTAAGCAGACGGTCCCCCAGTTCAGCTTCCCCATCCCCGCCCGGACGAGTACATACACACATACATGCATGCAATCAACAACTCTTGACAGGACATCTAATCATCCATGAACCTTCGATATCACTCGTGCGTACAACCAGCTCCCATCACTCGGGGCTTCACACACACGTCATGCATGGACAAAGCAGCAATGGAGATAAAAGCGAGTCCTTCTTGTACACAAAAATTTCAATTAGCTGCGGCCCCCAGGCGCAGCCTTCAAAACTTCCCAAGACCACCGACCACCATAGCCACAAGGCCCTGCTGCGGCCGGCGTCCAATCCCCACCACTGCTCAGTCCCTCCGACTGCTTAGCCCCGAGACTACCGCGGGGCCCACCCCACGTCGTCACTCCGCCCGTCCTTGGGCTCGTCGAGCCTGTTCGGCGCCGCGGATTCTCGCGCATAGCTCGCGCAGCATTGCACCTGAGATCAAAGAGAGGGAGAGGAGAGGGTTGCGCAAATTTATAGCGCGAGAGGCGGCGGGTTAACAGCGCGAGTTGCGGGCAGCATAGGGTGTAGATGAGCAGGACAGGAGAGAAAGGTGGGGAGTTAGAGGGTTCGACCCGCGGGATTGCATGGCTACATGATTGGGGTGTTCGTCCAAGTGGTGCACGGTTTCCCGCTTTCCACATTGATCTGAGCATCCCAACTACTCAGCCAATTACTTCGCGGAGAAAGACGGGGTAAGGATCAAGCTGGGCGTAGGGGAAGACGAAGAGTCCTGCATGGGGAAAGCGCGCGCGGCAAGAAGGGAAGATGGCGTGAGGATGCAAAGCAAGAAACGGGGATGCRAGACGCGCGAAGAAATCGGAGCTTGGGCGCGCGCGCAAAAATTCAAAAAGCCCTAACTGCACCCGTTTCTTGGTTTTCATACCGCGGCCGCTATTTGCGCACGGGAGTTATTAACCAAACAAAATGAAAAAGCCGTTTCAAAAAGAAAACAAAAGCAAAAAGAAAGAAAAACCCCTTCCTATCCGCGTTCGTACTTATGGGCTTCCGCGGGATTTTTCCTCCGGGATACGGCAAGCCGCGAGGTACGGATCTGAGCTTATCACATCTGTGATACGCAGGGGGTTCCGAAAAATTAGCAGTCTCCCGACTGCTGATTTCATCATATCATGGATGATCGGGCGGCCTCTTCATCGTCAACTGGCCCGATCATCTTCCTAATCTACGTGGATGCATCCTGCATCCTCCATCGTTTCCTCCCATAGTATACATTCGATCGAGCGGCCCCTTCATCGTCAGCTGGCCCGATCGGTAAGTAAAAAGATTTTTTATGTATATATATATATATATATACAAATATATATATATATACGATATATACATATATATACAGCGCGTATCGTCGCCCGAGCTTTAGATCCGAAAAAAAAGAAGAAAAATAGGAGAAGGAGAAGGAGAGGACAGGGGAGAGGTAGACGAGGGTTATCAGAGGAAGTGATCTATGTCGGGATTGAGAGGGGGCGGAATAGGTGGAAGAAAAGCGGCCATTGCCGCAGGAGTCGTCGGTGCATCTCCCTCATGGAAGTGATGCTGGACGAATGAGTGGTAAAGGAAAGCCCCCGGCACATGTGAGAGGACACGGGGCGCCAGATCCGCTACCGCTCGCACCACCCGCTTGCGCACCGATCGGGGCCCTGGACCCGTCATCACCACATGAGTCTCGGTGTAAGGCCGCCGCTCCCGCTTCTGCGCCGCGAAGACCAGGAAGTGGTACATCGCGTTTGGACGCTGCCCGGTCTCGTAGATGAGCGTCCCAGCCAATCGCGCCTCAATACACCCTTGGAAAGGGGGTGTCAGATATGGCTCCCACGCCGGATCAGGGCGCGGCGCCCCCGCGATGGCCTCGAGCCTGATGGTGGCGGGCTCCACCATGAAGTCCACCTCGGTCGGATGGACCGTCCGGCGCGGATGAACTACTAATGTCAATGACCGGGGCACCCCGGGGTGGCTGGCGGGAACGGAGAGGTCCCACAAGGACGGGGGGTCTGGATATGGGATCCGAAAATCCCATTCGGCTTCCTCCTCTGGCTGCTGATGATGCCCCGGCTCCATCAAGATTGAGATCGGGCACATGCGGAATGGGCGACGATGGCACGATAGTCTCCTTAACGAGCATCGCCGCACTCCCAGGCACAGGGTCAGGAATCCGCGTACGCGCGGGTTGGATCTCCTCCTCCTCGCTCGCGATCACTTGCGTAATGGAGAGGAGCTCAAGATGTATGAGCTCCAACAATCCCGGATCGATTGTCTGGAGTGGGGCGAAGGGGTACAGCGCCACTGTCCCTTCCTTCTCCGTTGGCTTGGGCCGCGCGATGACGTAGTAAACAATGAAGTGCTCCCCGACAGCGTGGTCTTCGTGATCCACGAAGAACCGGAACATCCCCAGCGCCACCGACTTGTACAGCGCACGGTGGAATTCCCACGCGTCTTCGTCGGCGAAGGGCAGCGGCTCCACTTCAGTTAGCTCCACCAAATACTCCGAGAACTCGCGCATGGGGTAAGGGCCCTCCGTGAGCTGGTAGGGGAGGGTGGTGTAGGAGAAGAAAGGATGCATTTAGTATGGGACAGGGGGAATAGCTTGGAGGTTGAGAGGAGCAGCGGGAGGGAGAAGCGCGCGGAGCTGCGGTACCAACGCAATCGGTCCGTCCTCTGCCCTACGCAGCAGCACTTCGTGGGTTGTGAATCGGTGTCCCCCCCGTCCTTGCACTCTAGCCACTGATCTGGCCGCTTCCACCACGTATTCGCGCACAAAGCTGCGCGTCAGCTCCCGATTCTGCTGCGGTAGGATCGTCAAGTCTCCGATGAAGATGGCGACGCTGTGCATGAAGTTGAATGCCACCTGGAGCGCACGGAACTCAATTTATACTCGGGTCGTCTCTCGGCCAGGCAACTGCGTCCCATCCACGTACACTCCCGCATATGTTAGCCGATCGCAAAGCAACAAGTACGCTGCCAAATCAGCAACCCCGGGCGCTGCCACGCTCACTTGTTGGATGTCGTACCTCAACTGCCTCTCCTCATTAAACCGATGCCGCAACAAGCGATCTACAAGCGGCATCTGGAAGTGCTCGAGGGGCTCATGCTCCAGCTGGCGATGGTTCATCCTGCTCCCTGAAACTCTCAGCACCAATGGACGAGGCAGATTGGGAAGAGGAGGAGGATGAAGAAGGAGAGGGTGATCTCGCAGGAGCGGGGGTCCGTAGGGGACCTAGCGATGGCTGGAAGGGCCAGAGCGTGGCAGCGTGTCGTGTCAGCGGTCGGGCCTAGGAGTTGTGACGAGGAATCAGCTTCACGGAGTGCTGTCCCTGTGCGCCAACTTCCGTGACCTCGTAAATGCCTGTGTTGCGTGGGTGGATCTTGGAGGAGCGCGCAGATTTTTGTACCTGCACCAAGTCCCCAACTTTATAGCGGGGCAGTGGTCCCGCCGACGCATGTCGATTCTCGTAGTCACGGATCTGCCGTTGATGTGTCCGATCTACGGCCTGCTGTCCACGGCGAGCTAACGGGGGATAGGCCCTAGGCATTAAGTCCATGTAGTGGCGGGCCTTGTCTCGATTCTGGGCCCGTGTTGCTCTAACTTTCGTACCTACTAAGGGGGACGATTGCACCCGAGGGACACTTTTGGTTCTCAGTTGAAAGGGGGACACCCCAGTACTACTGTGTGGGGTAGCCCGATAAACGGCCAAAATGTGATCGACAATGACCGGCCAGGGTCGGGTGTCTCCCGCAGTGATATTCCGTCTAAGGGCCGTCTTAATCAGTCGGTTGGCATTCTCTACCAGGCCATTGGCTTGAGGCCAATGCCCCG